TTGAGTGGTTGCGCTGTTTTTTGTTGTATTTTATGTTCGTTTGTTTATTGTTTTTTTCTTTAATTTGATATTTGAATAAAGAAGGTAATATTCCCATTAGCAAAATTTAGAATGCACATGATTTTATACTTTCATGTAAATGGTCCATTTTGGGAAATGAATCTCGAGGGAAATGTGATACCACCCTGAGAAGCATTTTTAATCAGTTAGGAGCTAGAACAGGAGCACATATGTGATTGGCAGGGTTTGTGGCGGGAGTTTAAGGGTACTGGATACTTTGTTCAGTACTTTTAACGGGGCCTCTCACATATGTGCTCCTTTATTCTTGACACACAGGATAGAAAGTAGGTAGTTTGAGTGAAACTATATTTAATAGAAAAGAGCTAGGGTCGGAACAAGAATTTAATCAGCAGGAAATGTAGTCCCACATTTGAGATGTCCTGCAACTTTTTTCGTTGTCAATTAAAATTGCAATTGTGCATTTCAGGGTAATATTTTTCAAGTTAAAAAACAATCCTATCCCATATTTTGTATGAATGAAAGTGTATCAATCAAGTGGTGTCGCTAAATTTTGTTAATTTAAGATCCTGTTGACAAATGAATAATTCAAATAGTATTACGTAACTAAAGCTAACCAAGACACCATTGTGGAATGCTCTTCGGCAGGGGAACTATGCCATTAGCGCGAAGCATTTTTAAACCACTGATGCTGGCGCCAACTAGTATTGTCTTTACTATCTGGTTATCACTTGATTCAATAGGATCAGATCCGCCATTAGCACAAGATGGGTAAGTGTGCCAGTTATTGATCTGAGTGTTTCTCTAATTGACCCTGCCTTATTGAGGAGGTATGTTCGGTTCATTGTTTGATCTCATTCTTACTGGATAAAATTATAAACATGGATTGCCGATATATCATCTGTTTAAGATAAATCCAAAAAATTAGAATGATTATTTCAAATTACAACAATAAATTTCAGATGACGATCTTTCGTTTGAGCTTATTGTCAAAACCGTCAAACCCAATCACGTAAGTTTAACGTTAAAACATTGGTGCACAAAGGTAATGAATTAATCTGCGAGATAACCTACCTCTTACGTAAAGAAAATAAAGGACGAAGGTCCAAGGTCGCACCTTTGAAACAAATAACTAATCCCAGGTGGGAACTTTTCGTAGCACTAGAGAGGGTCTAGGATAAGAGATAAGCGGACTGGTTGATTTTAAGCCAACCGAACTGTCAAAACCAGAGACAATCGAGCAACGCACATCTTGATTGAAATGGCAGTGTTGCTAGAAACCACTTAGGCATAGGTTTCCAGGTCGTTTGAGTTGAATACGTTTCTCTCTTATCCTAAAAACCCTCTCTACGTAGCACCTTTGGCTGTTGCGCTATAATAATAAAGAAAGTCGTACCTTCGTCAAAGAAGATGCTGTTTAAACGAGTGGTGCTTTGGTTCGACAGTCAACATTGTTCGGGTGGCTTGGTTGTCCAAGTTTCGGATCAGCTTCAAAGAATTTCAACTAAATTGGAAATGGAGACACGTTTGATCACTTAGACAGGACTTTGATGTAAGTTTTCCAAGCACTGTATTTAACCCTCCTGAGAGGATGATTACACGCGTTATTGTACGTTCAGGGTACAGAGTTGTAACATTGAAGATCATCAAAAACTACTTGTCGGGCAGATCATTGCAGGTCTACTTGAACAATGTCCCCTCTGATACGTTCAACGTTGATGCAGGAGTCCCTCAGGGTAGCCTGATTGAGCCTACCCTATTCAACATTTTCACGTTAGACGTTCCTCACTTGCCGGGTGGTGGTATCCTGTCAATGTTCGCAGAATACACCTCCATCATCTATAAGAGTCGAGTGATCCGTGCTCTGGCGAGTAAACTACAATCAGGCCTGGATGTTCTGTTCGACTATTTCGAGATCAGGCCGCTCTATCCTCTGATAAACAGGAAGTCCACCCTTTCCCTCAAAAGACAAGCTTGCTGTCCACAAGCAGATCATTCTGCCGGCTATTGAGTATGGTATGCTAATATGGGAGAGTTGTGCTAAGTGCCACCACCTAAAGCTTCAGAGGATCTTAAACAAGATCATCAGAATGATCCTTAACAATCCACCGCGAACTCGTAATTCTGAGATTCACCACCTGGCCGGTCTTAAAACACTCGAAGAGCGAAAGACGTCCACGCTCGAAAGGGTCAGAGTCGCCTGTCTGCGATCAAACCACCAGATCATTCGATATTTGGCAACCTAGTGCAAGTAGTTAGGTAGGTTCATGTGCTCAAGTAGGTAGGTTATCACATTTTTAAATTCAAACAGAAACAAGCCCTGAAAAGGGTATCCTGTAAATTAGCGCTAAACGCAATCATCACATTAGAATAACCAATTAACTAGAACAAAGTTGAAGAGCCAAAGGCTAACCAATTGAAATGTATAACCAAATGTTGAAACTTTAAAAACCAGCAAATAAACGTTAAATTTACTACCCTGCTTGACCGTCCAGCAGTACAGTTCGGTTTTTTACTCGTTCTCTTGTGTTGTTCGCTAGTTCGTTGCGATAGTATTTGCGTTCTCTTTCGCGGTGTTTGGTGAAGCATCCTTTTGACGCGACTGCTATTCCGATCGGGAAGCAATTCCTATTGGACACCACCAGTGCTCAACTGGCATCGAACAATCGTTACGCCATCCTGGAAAACGGCGATGATCCAAAGGTGGAAAAGATGGAGAAAGTTCCACCGTTCTTCGTAAAAGGATTCCCAGAAGGCTTGCGGAGAAAATCGACTTTTACATCGGTAAAGGTTGTAGGAGCTCAGTATTTCTATATCGAAAAGTCCGAACCTACCAGTGAGATAGATGTAGAAGATAAACAAAGACAAAATGTCAGAGTGTTATGCTATAAATGTATCTGAATTAATCAGTATCGGTTGATTTTTACATAAGTCAGCAGATGAGCATCAGGCTGGTTACTCAAACTACAACTGAACTTTAAGACGGATTAATTAACTTTAGCCCAGACAACCAGAATGCACGTATATTCAAAATTATTTTCGTGATATACAAACATTTATACAAACAAAAAATTCGTATAGAATGCAAATAAATGGTTTATACGTACAAAAATAGAGGCCATATACGTGCATATTTTAATTTAATTTTTAACGAGTTGATTTAACAACATGTACGATTTACTCTGTAATAACAAATTCATTTTGAAAAGTCTTACGATGTAATCCGAATTCCCTTCAAACATTCCTCAAAACGTTAGAACTATTCATGATTAGGTGTCGTCGAGTTCTCTGCATCTCTCTTATAGAAATGTTGAACTAACATTCCTTTCCTATCTCCATGAGTCAATTGGAGCAACATCGCAGCGGAGCAAAACTCCGGGGATCTCATTTCGCGCGGAGCGTCGCCAGAACTAATTCAGCGCAACAGTCTGTGGTTGAATGGTTCTGCATGGAGCACTGTGAATCAATCGACATCCGACATCGACACTGACCAACACTGACCAACAGCACATTGATAGGGAGCAAAGAACAGTAGCCGTCTCTCTCATCACTCTCTACGAAAATGACTTTCTCGATGGAATGATGGCAAGATATTATCCCGATCTCATGATGGTCACTGCTCGTATTCTTTGGTTAAGGTCTCCTGAATCTCAGTCGATTCCTCGTTTGTTAGCATGCGAGCTTGATCGAGCCCAAACAGTTTACATGCGCCACGTTCAGCAGCAGCACTTTCGTGAAGAGCTGAATCATCTGGAGTCCTGGACGAAGAGGGTATGCTCAGGGTGGGCGGAAGGATACAACAGTCAAGTCTCAGCTACGACGTTCGACATCCTATATTGATCCCTCGCTATTCTATCCTCAAATCGTATCTGTTGAACCATGACCACATCGTCCATCACCACTGTGGGCCAAAAACACTGCTGGCAGTACCCCGAAGAAGATTTTCGATCATCAGTGGGGCAAGTGCAGCAAGGAAAGCTTAACGTCAGTGTGTGACGTGTGCACGTGTTAAGCCAGTACCAACGTATCAACTAATGAGTCAGCTGCCATCTGATCGAGTTCAACCAAATCCACCATTTGCGATTACTGGCGACGACTATGCAGGTCCAGTCAGCATTGTTGGACGTAGGACCAGAGGTGCGAAACAAAGCAAAGAATACATTGCACTCTGTGTTTGCTTTATAACAAAGGCCGTGCATATGGAAGCTATGTCTGAGCTTACTACTGTCGCGTTCTTGGCGGCATTCACTAGATTTTCTAGCTGCTACCGTTTGTCAGCGATAATGTCCTAGGATAACGCAACGAACTTCCGAGCAAGAGCTAAGCACCTTCGAGAAATGTACGCAAAACAGTGCAAACTTCTGTGCACAACGATGAAGTGACCGCATTTCTAACCGACAAGGGAGTGGAATGGAACTTCATTCCAGCTCGGTCGCCACACTATGGAGGACTATAGGAGTCAGCGATCAAAGTCCGCATCGTGCTCTCTTGCCGTGCGGATCTATTTGCTTTTTGCTGAAGGAAGTGTTACTACTACCTAAAGCTACAACAAATTTAAACAGCACTTTTCAGTGCTCAACCTGTAAAAATTTTCTACCTTGTTCAACTCTTATTCCTCTTCGATCCTTGTTTGGACCCTACCCGAGGTAATCCTTCTTGGATATCGATTTGGAAAATTCCTCTTCGATCCTTCAGATTCTTATAGTAATCTGCTTGGAAATCGATTTGGATAAAAATTTACTGCCGCCATGGCGCCTAAACGCAAAAGAAAGGGGCAAACTCTTGACCCCCCTTCTGATGAAATTAATTTGAGTAATCAATTTGATTTGCTCACGGATGATGAGAATGATCCATCATCCAAGAAAAATTCTAGTAAACTTTCCCGGCTTAATGCCAAGAAGGAAAAGATTCCCCCTATTGTGATAACCACTACCGATTTCCATGCTCTTCGCATGGAACTTTTGAATTTCGTGAAAGTTAAGTTTTCACTACAAATTGGACGTCGGGGTGAATGCCGTGTATTGGCTGAAACCTTGGACGGATTTAAATGTCTTCTCAAGTATCTTACTGAGAAGAAGCACAAATTTTTTACTTACGACACCAAAACTGAACGTGTGTTCAAGGTTGTCATGAAAGGACTGCCCAGTGGTGAATCCCTGGATCAGATCAAAGATGAACTGGCAAAATTACTTGGAGTTGTGCCACTCCAAGTAATCAAAATGAAAATGAAATCCCGTCCTGGCGATTCGCGCAACGGGATTTCTAATGATTTTTATTTAGTTCACTTCAAGTCTAGTGAACTAAACAACCTTAAGGCCTTAGAAAAAGCTAGCCTTATGCTCCATGTCCGAGTGAAGTGGGAACACTTCAGGAAGACTGGAGGAAATTTCCAAAACCTCACCCAGTGCCGTAAGTGCCAGGGATGGGGTCACGGAACTAAAAATTGCTACATGCCAGCTAAATGCATGAATTGTGGTGATTCCTCTCACGCAAAGGACGACTGTCCTGTGAAGGAAGATCCTAAGAAATTTAAATGTTCAAATTGTGGTGAAAACCACAAATCCAATTTTTGGGAATGTAAGACTCGCAAAGCGATCCTACAATCTCGTTCTAACCGTCAGGTAGGAAACGCTCCACGTTTCCGACCAGGTACAAATTCCTCTGCTGTTAACAACGGTCAGCGAGGAACAAATTCTACATTCGTACCCGTAGGTACAAATATCTCCCCTGCTTCAAATGTTTCATCTGTACCTACTCCCCTCGCTGCTAACAATGTTCAGCGAGTTAATGGAGCTACCTATGCTGCTATTGCAGCGGGTAGAAATCAAAATACTAACCAACGTTCTAACGGAAATTTTGACAATTTTGACTTAGGAAGCATTACTGCCCCCAAAATGGAATTTTTACAGAATTCATTAATTGACATGATTTCTGATATGCTTAAATCTAACTCCATGTTTGATGCTATTCAAACTGGAGTAAAATTTGCAAATAATATTGTCATGACTTTAAAATTCAGTAATGGATTTTAAAGCATTAAATATTGTAAATTGGAATGCTCGATCTCTTAAAGATAATGAAGACGAGCTATTTAACTTTTTACGAGTTCATAACGTGCATATTGCCGTTATAACTGAAACGTTCCTTAAACCTGCCCATAAGGTTAAGAAGGACGCAAATTACTTGATTTATAGAAATGATCGTCTTGATGGACCCTGTGGTGGCGTTGCCATCATTATTCATAGACAAATCAAACATAAAATTCTTTCTTCTTTTGAAACCAAAGTTTTTGAAACTTTGGGAGTTTCTGTTGAAACAAAATTTGGACAACTTACGTTTATAGCTGCCTATTTGCCATTCCAATGCGTAGGCCAGCAAAAGAATTTTCTCAAGGGTGACCTCCAGAAACTTACCCGTCATAGGTCTAAATTCTTCATTATTGGTGATTTTAATGCAAAACACCGCTCATGGAATAATGCTCAAAGCAATTCCAATGGTAATATTCTGTTTGATGATTGTTCTGCAGGTTATTACACTATTCAATATCCAAACAGCCCAACATGCTTTTCTTCTGCAAGAAATCCCTCCACTATTGATTTGGTCTTAACTGATTCATGTCAACTTTGTAGCCAATTGGTTACCCATGCTGACTTCGGTTCTGATCACCTTCCAGTAACTTTTGAAATATCCCAAGAAATAATTTGTAATCCCAACAGCTCTACTTTCAATTACCATAGAGCTGATTGGGAGCAGTATCGAACATTTATGGAATATAACTTCGATCCAAACATTCATTTGCAAACCAAAGATGAAATTAATTACGCTCTTGAATCTCTGACTACTTCTATAGTTGAAGCAAGAGCTGCCTCAGTACCAAAATGCGAGGTTAAATTCGATTCAATTATAATAGACGATGATCTTCAGCTCTTGATCCGTCTTAAAAATGTCCGTAGGAGACAATATCAAAGAACACGCGATCCTGCCATGAAAGTTATCTGGCGGGATTTGCAAAAACAAATTAAAAAGCGATTCTCTGCCCTGAGGAACAAAACTTTTGAAAATAATATTTCTAAATTAGACCCGAGTTCCAAACCCTTTTGGAAACTCACAAAAATTTTGAAAAAACCTCAAAAGCCTATTCCAGCGCTTAAAGAAGGTGGTAAAATTTTGATCACAAATTTGGAAAAAGCTCAGAAACTTGCTAAGCAATTCGAGAGTTCCCATAATTTCAGTTTGGGTCTTACTAGTCCTATTGAGAATCAGGTTGCTCGGGATTTTCTGAATATTTTCTCTCGGGAAAATATTTTTGATGATTCCTGGGGGACTGATTTGGACGAAGTAAGGTCTATAACTAAAAATTTTCAAAATATGAAAGCTCCAGGTGATGATGGCATTTTCTATATCCTCATCAAAAAACTCCCAGAGAGTACCTTGTCTTTCTTGGTAAAATTATTTAACAGATGTTTCCATTTGGCATACTTTCCTGATAAATGGAAAAATGCAAAAGTTGTTCCAATTTTGAAGCCGGATAAAAATCCAGCTGAAGCTTCTAGCTACCGCCCAATAAGTTTGCTTTCTTCAATAAGTAAACTTTTTGAAAAGATAATTTTGAATAGAATGATGCTTCACATCAATACGAACTCAATTTTTGCAGATGAGCAGTTTGGATTTCGCCATGGGCATTCAACTACTCATCAACTCTTAAGAGTTAACAATTTAATTCGTTCAAACAAATCTGAAGGCCACTCGACTGGAGTTGCTCTTCTAGACATAGAAAAAGCATTCGACAGTGTTTGGCATGAAGGTTTGATTGCTAAATTGAAAAAGTTTAATTTTCCACTTTATATTATTAAATTAGTTCAAAATTATTTAACTGACAGAACTCTGCAGGTAAATTATCAAAATTCCAAATCTAATCGACTACCTGTTAGAGCAGGAGTTCCTCAGGGTAGCATTCTTGGGCCTATATTGTATAACATTTTCACTTCGGACCTCCCTGATTTGCCTCAGGGTTGCCACAAATCTTTGTTCGCTGATGACACAGGCATTTCCGCTAAAGGAAGAAGTCTTCGTGTTATTTGCAGCAGACTGCAGAAAAGTTTAGATATTTTCTCTTCTTATTTACAAAAATGGAAGATTTCTCCCAACGCTTCCAAAACTCAACTTATAATATTTCCACATAAGCCTAGAGCTTCGTTTTTGAAACCTAGTAGTAGTCACATAGTCACTATGAACGGAGTTCCAATTTCCTGGTCAAACCAAGTGAAATATCTTGGATTAATACTTGACCAAAAATTAACTTTTAAAGATCACATTGAGGGCATTCAAGCTAAATGTAACAAATATATTAAATGTTTGTATCCTCTTATAAACAGGAAATCCAAACTTTGCCTGACGAATAAACTTCTAATATTTAAACAAGTTTTTAGACCGGCCATGCTTTACGCTGTGCCAATATGGTCTTGTTGTTGCACTACCAGGAAAAAAGCACTTCAAAGGATTCAGAACAAAATTCTGAAAATGATTTTGAAGTTGCCTCCCTGGTACAGTACAACCGAAGTACATAGAATTTCGAATGTTGAGACTTTAGCACAAATGTCCAACAAAATAATTAATAATTTCAGGCAAAAATCGTTGCAATCCTCAATTGCAACGATTAATTCCCTTTATACTTAGATAAGATTTAGTTTTAGTTTTTAGTTTTAAGATATCAATTGTTATACTGACATGCAGGTTAAAAAACCTGTTTAAAATACTGAATTGCCAAGACATGAACAATGTAAAAACACTTAGATATATATCATAACAATTAAGGCTGGTACGTTACTGCAGTAACTGGAGCACCTAGGTTAAAATGAAATGTAATTTATTTTGAATTTGGAACAAATAAAGAGTTAAAAAAAAAAAAAAAAAAAGGAGTCAGCGATCAAGGTTGCTATGCAGCATTTGTCGAAGATCACCAGCAGTTACATCATTACCTTCGAAGAACTGGCCACGCTCAAATTGCTGCATGAACCGAAGGGCACTTACACCGATCTCCAATAGCCCGATGGATCCTCAACCTCTCACTCCAGCTCATCTTCTCATCGGTCGTGCACTCACCACCGTTCCCGAAGTCAACTTGCTGGAGCCGAAAATTAGCTCGATGTCAGGCTGTCAGTTTGTTCAGCGTCTCTCGCAAGAATTTCGCACTAGATGGCAGACAGAATACATGCGATCTCTGCAGCGGATGTCAAAGTGGCAACGTTCATCACACAACGTTTCGGTCGGCGACTTCGTTCTATTAGGGGATGTCAATTCGAAGCCAAATCAATGGCCTACGGGTAGAATCATCGAAACCTACCCAGTAGCAGATGAACTGTAACGTACGATCAGGATGAGTATGTTCCAAGAAGACTTCGATCAGAAATTCCCAGAGGAAATTTGGTTGGCAGATTATGTTCGAGCGACACCTCTGGACGTTCCCCTTACGAGTGAGAAGTGAACAGTTGTCCCCTGCAGCATCCTCTGAACCGGCTATTATTAGTTTTGATAGATAGGATTGTTTAATTTTTCGTAACATATACAATTTACTCTTTCCTACAACCAATTCCAAATGCATTGAATGGGAATAATAAAATGCAATTCAATAACCGGTGAAGCAATTCCGCACGCGTTTTTTACTTGTTCAAATAAGGGGTCTACTTACGTTTGATTGAAGTGTTGATTTTGAGAAAAACAAAATACAAGAATAGGAGCAGGAGGGGCATAGTGAGCATTCCGCACTTTGGCTTTGGATCTCCAGCTGCATGAAACAAATCAACTGGTAGTATCATTATGATATTGATCCTACCACCAACCAATTTGTTACGAACGGCCGGAAGACCAAGCTGGGGCAAGGGATGCTCACTATGCCCCTCTTACCCCTATTACAGACAAAAAAAAAGTCATTTTTGATGAACTGAAAAAAATATCCAAATTAAATCAACCCAGCATGATAATGCAAGGATTCGAGATATGCAGGCCTGTACAGTTACAATTAATGTTTTGCTCATTGACCGGATTTTTAGAGCGATAAGCAAATCATTCATTTGAAAAATCGGAAACAAAAGGCTCACAAAATATATAGAAAAAAACAATAATCAGGGTAATTTGGAAAAGTATTTGAATATTCGTAACCAGTCTAATTTTGCTGTATCTGCTGCTCTTTATGAGTATAACAATAAAGCTGAAAAATAAATTAAAGCATGTCCAAGAGTCTTCTTCAATAACGTTAAAAATAAAATTAATTCGTTCAACTTTCTATCAACAATTACTTTAGACGAAAAAATAAGCAATAATTGAAAAGATATTTGTTATCTTTTTGTCACATTTTTTCAAGAGACATACTCCAATTTCTCGGATAATGATCATGATTACGAATATTTTTCACAGTTTCCAGTTTTTTCGAACAATTTTGGTGTTAGTAACCTTTATGTTCAAGATATGTTGACAGGTCTAAGAGCTTTGGACACCACTAAAGGCTCAGGACCAGATGGAATCCCGTTAGATTGTATGTAAAATTTAGCAAAAGAACTCACAATTCCTTTATAATGGCTGTTCAATATGTTACTTGTCTCCAGTACAT